AATTACTATCATTATTTTTGTCATTATTTTTGTTATTAACTGATTAATAATTTTATTGCCCATGTGCGCATTTTTTAAGATTGGTGTAGCCATATTTTTAAAAAGCTTGGGGGGTATTAGATTAAGATTTTAGCATGGGGTCTAATATTGCTAAAAATGTCCTCCTGGGGGCGACAAAAATCAATTCATTATTTTGCTATAATTTCCTTGCTTCTTGTAGCTATTGTGTAGGCGGAATAGACTCTTTGATGTCAGTGGAGTCCCTCGTAAAATAGTAATGATCAATTTTCAGAATAATAGCATTGTCAATTTGCATGGTGAGTTAGTCATTAATTAATATATTTCCTTAAAAGGTTTTAATTTGTTATTGATTTTTGATTGAGTTATGCACGGTATTTAATTTAGAAAAAAAAGATATTTTTTATTGCAAATACTAGCTGTGCAGAAAGTTTGAGCCAATACAAGGATTGAGCATTAAAAACTTGCAAATTTTGAGCCAACATATGATTTTTATTGCTCACGTACATTTGAATGTGTGTCTTATTTTTTTGTCTTATTTTTTACTAGTAACAGACTTTCATAATTATTATGTCTTTGTTCTTTAAAAATAAATTAAATAAAAAATTAAAATAAAATAATATATTATTAAAAACAATAAAATTAATCTTGTTTGTTTTAATAAACAATAATAATACTTTTTTTAGGTTTCCATGGTCTTGTATCGCTTCAGTGGCTTTGTTTAGCTGGAAACAGCATTAAGGTTCTCTTTCCCTCTCCCTCCCTCTCCCCTCCCCCTCCCCCCTTTCTCTTCATCTTTCTTTCATTTCACAGGATGCTAATGTCTTAAATTCCTGTACTTCTCTCACTCATATTGATCTTTCTGATAACTTGTACGTGTATCATTCATTACTCATGCAATAGCTATAAGTTATTTTATTTTTTTAGCATCAAAAAACTACCCGTGTTAACTAACCTTACCTCACTAAAGGTGAGTATTAATAGTTATTATTAATATTTATAAAGTATTATTATTATTTTATGTTAGACTTTGCTTCTCCATGGCAATGGGTTAAAATCACTTGCTAAGTGAGTTTATTATTGTTATTATTCTTTCAACAAGTACTTGTGCCTATACCGTACTACAGCTGGTGATTTTGGAGGGTGAAATCTGCTGTATCAATTGTCATTTACCATATTAAAACCAGGCATTTAAACATAGATGCTAGAGTAAAATATCTATGTTTTAAACCATTATATATGCATGCTATATGGCACATGGTCATGCAGATTAAAATCCGCCACAATCACCAAAAACTGCCAAATTTTACCCCTCCAAAATTACAAACACTCTTGTTATAGAACACGTGTATCTCTTCCTTCTTTATCCTTACATACATTGACACTGGCTGAGAATGGGATAGTTGATCTTAATGAAGTAAGTAATGTTCTTTATCCTCTATCAGTTACCCTCATATATACCACTTACCATGAAATTTATGTGACAAAAAAAATTTGCGAATTTTGTGATTTTTTTCTCCGGCCGCATAAATTAAAATCGTGGAATTTTGTAGCTCCATTGCCACGTGGTGCAGTTTTCGAGCTATTTGTAAAAATTTATTTCATGAAATTTTAGAAATGAAGGATTCGCGAAAATTTTTGTCGCATAAATTTCATGGTATATGGTACTGTTACTCATTACTTATGCTGTTACTTGTATAGTTTGTTGCTCTTCAGTGTCTCAAGTCATTGGAGCAGTTGTCTGTGATGGGTAATGCATCAACTATTGATGCATCAGTTAAAAAGTGAGTTTTGTGTCAAACTGTGTCCATGTACATGTACACATACACGTACACAGAATGTAGCAGAAATGGCCAGGAATGACATTTTCACTGCAACATATCTCAAGGAGAGTTTGGATGTTTTTTTGAGCTCTCACTTTATTAAAAATGCTACTTCCTAGTTGTTTATCTTTATATGTGATCTCTCTCTCTCTCCTTTTCTAGTTTTGATTTTGCTTGTCGCTGTTTCATTCTCTACTGGTCTCCTCAACTGGATGTACTTGATGGATCTCCTATCACTGAGAAAGAAAGGTGTGGAGAATATGATGAGAGTATAAGTTGCAGGGTTTCCTCTGGCATAGTGCTCAGAATGTTGTCAGTATATAGATTTTTTATGGATTAAAGTAG